CAGAGATGCCTGAAGTATTTCCATATCCCACTCAGGCGCAGAATCATGTTGTTGCCTCAAACTACAACAACAACCATCTGCACAACATCAGCAACAGCAGCGACAACAGTCCCAGCGTCACACACATGCCCCTCTACGAGGGCGTTGTGCCCGAATGCGATCGAGAAGGTGAGTCGAATCATTGAGGTGGGGACAGGTATATCGTCATCGGCAAGTGTCGACATGCCGTGGCATATGAAATCATTTTATCACCCATTCAGTTTTAACAGACAAGCATTCTTGGCAGTCGCAACAGTAGATGGCGGTTGCTGGTTCAAATCTCTGGCTAGTGTACAAATGATGAGCGCTCTTAGCCACAGTTATTCAATATAAATTAATTGGTTTAAAGTGTGCAATATAACTTTTGAATTAAATTTGTTACTGCTTAATCTTCGAAGATTTGAACCAGCATCTTTCTTTAGTTCCTTTTTATAAAGTTATCTTTATCTGCTTGCTTTAAATACTTCCTCACATTTTCTTAGTATTCTTATGTCGCGTATTTTGAAAGTATTCAACTTTTAACACATAACAGATGTCATGAACTAGCATGATAATGGCCTATATAGTATATTATGAAACGCAAATATGATTAGAAATAACGCAACCGTACCTCCAATTATAGTTAGACCTCAAAATGTTTCGCATGTCTGAAATCGCCTGTTATCTGCGTCGTCGTTCTGTTTCTGTTCCTCCATAGGCTTTATTTATAGGGGGATTTTTTTTTTCTTCTCAATATAGAAGCGGCCTAATCGCGCAAGCCAGTCTCGTTGCCGGCCCTTATCAGGCCATTCTGTTTACAATTGATAACAAATTGAATTACGCCCCAAATATATCGCTCCGCGCAAAATGCTCGTTGTTAAATGGACAGCTTTAAAATAAACATTTACCTTGGTGAAAACAAAAGAATAAATAAGCTTATTGTCATTATAAAAAAAGCTCAATCGTATCTAAAATTTAACGATTCAGTATTAAGATTCGGTAGTGTGTTAAATGAGAGCGTAAATGCTAGAAATCGATATTTATCGATTTACGGATAATGGGCTGAAATTATGATATACGAGAAGGTTCGATTGTTAGTTCCAATCTTCAATCCTAAGATCTTGTGGGGATCTCCTTAGTCGCCTCTTACGACAAGCGGAGATGTACTGTGGTGGTATTCTTATGCCCGCCTACCACACGGGCTAGATAAATCTTTATACATATCAGGTTAAGTCCTGGCTTTAATGGCATGCCAAATCTTTAAAATTATTAAGAAATTTTAGTATATTTCTTTCTCTTTAGAATATCTTAAAATGTGCCATATCATTAACATTGTTCTATAAAATTAATCTTAGAATTTTAAGTAGTATTTTCTTAGTTCATTTTCGACAAATAAATAATATCGCCTGACTTAACTGCCAGCGAGTAGAAAAAATCAGACATAATATAAATTATAGATAATACCCAAATAATCTTCTCATGCATCTTATAATTATGATATTTTTTTCGTTTTCCTTTTTGATTGCTGCATTATGTCCACCCTTCGGCAATAAAACAGATAGCTTACCTATATATCCAATTTACCTAGCTATATTTGAGGTATATATGTATGTGCTATAATATGGCGCGCCCACGCTTCAATATTTATGTATGTACATGTATATAATACCTAGAGTCCGGCACATTATATTCTGTTGAAATGTCTCTTGTCTGGTTTCTTTGGCCTTTGTACATTTCATCTCATTTGTTTCTATTTCGTTTCATTTCGTTTCGTTTCGTGTTTTTCTCAAATATATATTTTTTTAATGTGCCTCCTCCGCCAGCTGCGTTTCTGCCGGTCATCCCCACCCACCCTGCCGTCCACGACATTTTATTTATACAACAATTTTGCTCTCTCTCTCTCTCTTTTCCTTTTCTGCAATGTTATTGTTGTTGCGACTCGTTCAAGTTCAGGGCGAAAATGCGACGACGAAGACAACAACAACAGAGCCCAATTCCGAATGCGTATCCGTATCCGAGTCCGAATTTCGAATTAGATCGTAAAAGGCGTTTCACTTGACACGTTAAGCATACGCAGCGTGGGCTGTCCAAATGCTTTTCTAATGCCATTCATGATAATGTGGCTCCGATTCTAATTATGAAAATTGTCGCGTTGAATTTTAATCACGAGGTTCACATGTATTAAAAGCACTTAAGCATTTGTCTATCGTCCCACTGAAGAAAGCATTTGCTTTTAGCCAAGTATTTTAAAGGCGACAGTCAATCAAATTGAAATAATATTTACACTTATAATTTTGTATGCTATTCTCTTGGAATTCGGCTCGCAATGGCCGCATTAATGAATTAATTTATCAATTCAAATGTCTGCAAAATTCACGCAAATGACGTAAATTCGATTTGAAATATACATACATATGCTTATATATATATATATGTATGCATATGTATACGAATGTATGTCTATGTCTGTCTCCTCCCTTGGCCCATTGCCCTGTTTGCTATTTCCGCTAGAAATCTATCAAAATGTCTAAAAATATGCCCGCTTTTATTTTATTTTATTTGAACTGCTTTCTTTTTTTTTAAGTTTGTTAAAATCAAATTCGAAAATCGTTTGCGCTGCTTATTTTCAGCAAAAATAAATTATTATTAGATTGATTTCTCGTGTGTTTGCGCATTTTGACTATATTTAAATTTGTTTATGAACTTTTAGCCAGCGCAAAAATGCGCGCCATTATTTTTAGCAACAAACAGAGTAATAAAATGTGAGCTACTGAGCCATATAAAACCCCGAAACGCATACAAACACACCTCACCTACATATATATCTATATATATGCATAAATATATTTAAGTTAAGTAAATATACAATGCGTTAACTGTTCGATATTTTTGTCCAATTCTGCTTGCAGCGCATGCGGCGACCATTGAGCGGCAAAAGACGCGACGGGACAAGCTGGCGAATGCGCTGCGTGACAACAAGAAGCGTCTACTTAGCCTGGAGCAGGAGATCAACATACTGACCGAACCGGTGCCGGTGGGCGAATCCGAAAGACTGGATAGAGATATCAAAAAACTAACTGAGGACTGTCAGCGGCTGCTCAATATGATCAATGGTAAGCATTTATTTGCATTTAACTGAAATGGATTTAAACATCAATCTCTGTCATTGCAGATCCCCAGCTGAATGGCACTGCGGCCGCAGCCAATTCCATGAATCGTCAGCTATCGGCGCCTGCCGGGCCACAACAGCAGCCATTTCCACGACAGCGCGCTGTACCTGGCAGCGGTCGCACTCTGGCACCGCCCAATTCGCTGCGATTGCATTCGGTGCCCGCAGCGCCGACACAGTCTCATCTAGATTTTGTGCAACATCACAGCAGTGCGCCCAGCTCCGCCTGCCTGACGCCGCAACAGCAGCAGCAACTGCAGCTGGAGTTGCAGCCGCCGCCTACCTATGCACAATACTGTCAGTTTCAGCAGTTTCTGCAGCAGCAGCGGGCAGCTGCAGCGGCGGCAGCGACATCATCGGTAGCAGCTCAGCAGCCACGTGTCAACCATATCAATCAGGAGGAAGAGGAGGAGTCCCTATCCGAATCGGAGGTGGACGAAGGCGAGGAGCCACTCGATATGTGGGCCTGCAACTTGTGTACATTCCGCAACCATCCGCAATTAAATATTTGCGAAGCCTGTGAAAATGTTAGGATCCAGCCGGGTATGATACGCATTGTGCATAGCAGCAGCGCTGATAATGCCACGGCCACGCCCACAACAACAAATACAACCGGCGCTGGTCTAGAGACCGATGCCAATCGGCAGCAGCCATACGCTTTGCACACGTGATCGATTGATCGACTGATAATATAGAACGCACGATCGATTGATCGATCGCTGGCTTGCCTGTTTGTTATCATTGATAAGTGTACTAATTGTCAAGGACCCAAGCTATGTTCTATATATATACATATATATACAACCAAAAGTTTCTCTAACATGCATTGGCTTGCGCACTTTTGTCTGCATGTTGGCAACTTTGAAACTGTGATAGCATATTTAAATTAGTTTCCAGTTAAGCAAATTAATTGAAAAAGTCAAGGCACGCATGCAGCCTCTATAAGTATATACAAATAAATGCACTAAATGTGTGTTACGAACCGAAATAATAGCTCGTTTCAAAAGCACGACAAATCTTAAAAAAAATATACAAACAAAAACATATACGAAACAGATAAATGGAAATAATTACAAATTACATTAACCTATTTAACCTATCTATTCACATATAGCTTATGTTTAATTAATATTTATGTCAATGCATATGCCTCATTATCTGTTTTATTGATAGCACCTGTATTACTAAGCAAACAAAGTTTATTATTATTTTAAGCAGCTTGCATAAATAAAGAAGTTATTTAAATATTTACACAATTCGTTGTTGTTGTTGTAGTTGCTTATAATCAACTTAAATATATACTAATTACAATTGTTTTATTCCAGCGCCGATTCTTAATCGTGAGGACATACATATAACGCTCTCACCCGGCGAAAATCGTAAGCATTTTATTTATTTAACCTAATTCTCATAATTATTATGACTGTCTGTTCATAGGTATTATACACTCTTGGATACTATCGTGACCATCGGCGAAATTCTAGCAATCAAAACTAGACAACACACGCGAAGTGTTACTTTCTATTTATTAAACTTATTTAATTTGCTTTTGTATTATATTTGCAAGCGCTGCTGGCAGCGTTTTTTGTATATAGATGCGTAACATATTTTGACTGCTGTTTGTTGATTTTCTGACTTAAGAATCGAAGACTTTTAGTAGAACAACTGTTTATTGAAGCTAGTGAATTTAAGTCATAAATTGTGTACATAATGTAAATATAGAAACAATTGTGTTAGGTTTTCTACAAGAAACACAACAAATATGAAATATGCAAATATTTTTTTAGGGCTTTGCTAAAAAATATTTAAGAAAAAAAAAAAACGTTATAATTTACGAAATTAAAGTACGAAGGAGAAAACATTTGGACGCTGTTTTATTTAGAACTTGAATTTATCAATAGGTGAGTGTGAATGCCGGGAAATCCAAAATTTAAAAATATATATTTTCATCCACTATCGATAGAAGTACATAGCTCCGAAAGCTAGAGATGAGCGATAACAAGTACCCGATAACGTAAGTATCGTTTAACTCTATCGTTTAACTCGGACGTATCAAGAACAATTTCGTGCAACCGCAAGAATCAACAAAAGTCAGAGCGCATATGCTGTGGGGGCCCTCCATCGTATATGGAAATTCTATTCTATATGTAGCTGTGCTTCAATTGTCGTAGTAGAATTTAAAGCAGAAAAAATGAGCGCTATTCAAAATTTCTTAAATATACGTGGCTCACGTGCTTATAGAAGAGTCAACGATTGTCTGCCGACGCACAAAACCTATTATTTTCAGGGCGATGAAGCCTACACCGAGGACAACATATTGGTGAAGAAACTTTTTTTGTATAATATATCACCAGGGGTAAGCGTTTGGCAACAATTTCATATTCCTTGAATATTTAAGATAAACGAATTTTCCTGCATTAGCTATCGGCCAAGCAATTGAGAGCCTATTTCAACACGTTCGGACGCGTCGACCACTTGCATCTCTTTGGGCAGCCCAGCAACCATTTCGGCTCCAAGGGCTCAAATGATAGGCCAAAATCAAAGAGTGGCTTTGTCGTCTTCGCAGATCCACGTAGTGCTGCAAAGTAAGTAAATCAATTATGCTACACACATCTAAAGTACACGTTGTGCCTTGCAGAGCACTGCGTCGAAAATTTCACAATGTGAACAAAGACCGTCTATCTGTGCAGCCCAGCGACAGCTGGCATCAGCCAGACGCCTATGGCATACCACGGAAGCAGTTATCTTCCGATCCGAACGAGCCGCCGGCTGCCATTCTAAATCTGAACGATCATTGCTTGGATTATATAGTGCGTCTACTGGCACTGCCCGATCGCATTCACTTTGCGCGCACCTGCATACGTTTTCGAGAGATCTATAAGCGGGCTTCACCAGCCTTGGATAAATGTGTAAAATTTGAAGAATTTGCTGACATGACTATGTGGGATGTGCGTGATTTCTTTGTGCTGTCCGGTCGTCATGTTCGAAAGATTGAGGGCATTATACCAAAACGTCATCGCCAGCGTCTGGGCGAATTTCTGGGCGCCCACTGCACTAATCTAACCACTTTGCGTATTACGGCCAATAAGTTGACCGTTCGCACCATGAACAAGATCTTTGGCAAGCTGACCCAGCTGGAGAGCCTACAATTGCACGGTTGCGACTTGCGTAATGATGCTCTGCTTGCGCTGAAGCATTTGTCACAGCTCAAGACACTCGATCTGTCTTACAATGACAAGTTGACTGGGCAAAATATGAATCGCTTGCCGATAAGCATTGAGTCGCTGACACTAACCAGTTGCACTGGGCTGCAGTCGAAACTATTGTCCCGGGTTTTTAAGGCACTCAAACAGCTTAAGGAGCTGCACATGAAGGGTGTCTATACCATTGGCTCAGGCTTTAAGCAGCTGGTCAACAGCCAGCGCTCCAATACGCTGGAAACTATCTCAGTTAGCAATGGGCTTGGCTTTGGACTGAATAATCAATACGAGCACATTGCCAGGCTGCCCGGCCTCAAGAAGCTGACTGTCCACAGTCATGAGGAGGATGCAAAGCTGCGCCCCGAGCTGCTTACGTGGCTGGTGGAACAAAGGTCCGAACAACTGGTCCACTTTGAAGCACGCGGTCAGAACTGCATCAATTCGGAGATGGTTTCACAAATAAGCAAACTACGCGCACTTCGCACGCTCATTATACCCAACAACGATGCAATCAACGATCGCGAATTAGAGGTTCTGAGCAGTCTCCAAGAGTTGGAGGAGATCAATCTTAAGTATTGCTGCAATGTTAGCGGCAATGCGGTGCTGCGCTTGATACTTTCCTGCCCCAAGCTAAGGGTGTTGCATTTAGAGAATTGCCCGCAGCTCACAGAAAAGCTACTATCTGATATTATTTTTAAAATGCGCTTACAAATTCGCCAAAAAGAAATCCAGCGTCAGCTACCCATCAAGCTTAGTATATACGGATGCAACATTACCAAGGAGAACATGCGAAATCCAGATGTGGTTTCCAAGGACATAATTGATGTATCCTTTGTTTCACCCTCATCTGATCTTTGCTTCTTTGACCTATCCGATTTGTTGGTATTCGACAATGATATGTTCTTTGGTTCAGACGATCTGGACGCAGACCATGATCATCGTTTGTATGATATGGGTTTTCTAAGCGATACTGACGATGACTACGATTATTCCGACGATGATTATGACGGGGATTTTGACGAATTGGATGGGTTTGACGAATTTGGTTACGATTTAGAAGATATGGATTATTCAGATATCGAGGATTATTGGGATAGTTTATAAACAGTTTAACAAAATTAATATTATATGCTAAAACTTACCCCATATTTTTAGATATTGGGGCTAGTATCTTCTAGTATATCCATTTACTGTAAATTCGTATTACACTAAATTTCGCCAAACATGATAATTATTAAAATATATATCAACAATATATCACTACGAAAAATATATTAATCTGGTTATGAAACGCTAAACCAATTGTTTGTTGCATATTGTTAACATTCTTTATTATTCATATATTTAAATTTTAATACATTTGTTTCACATAGTAGTTTATGGTGTGCTTGCTTGTTTTTAAAAACCATCTCTAGACGCGTTTCAATGTTGAAAACCTAAAATCGTTGTTTACTTTGCTATGCTTGTTTTTTTTTTTTTTATGGTATTGTACGTTTAATAATTACGTTAATTTCAAATCTCTTTTGTTACTTTGATTTAGCGCTAAGTCTGGCTTGGCTTGGTGTTTGTTTTTTGTTTTTGGACATATCTTAAACTTTAAATAGCAACATTTAATTGACTTTGGGGTAAAAATTGCACCGAAATTTAACAAAGGCAGGTAAAGAAGACAGTTAAGGTAAGTATATTTAACCTAAGATAAATTATATACTTTTGAATAGTAATATTAACAATCTCGTAAATATATATTTAAAGAACACTTTAAATTTAATTAACGAATAAACAACTAGCAAAATAACACAAAATATAATACTTTGTTCAATGTGAGATTGAGAAGCTTAATAATTAATAAAGACTTCTTTAGTTTTGCAACAATAATAAATGTTTGGAATATTTTGCACTATATAAATATAAGTTGAATAAAAATAGCAAATGTTTTTCTTTTTTAGATTTTGATAATTGAATTCTTAGGAATTTGAAAAAACAATTGCATTTAATTTCATATTTAAGTGGAGATTCTTTATATCCGAATTAGTATTGATAAATATATAGTTATTTAAATATTTTGTTTCAAAGCTGAGCAAGTAACAAGGATAGGTCATTTAGCTATATGTATATCTAAATGCTGGGTGATTGGAATGCATTTTGTGGATTACATGAGGCACACTGATCAAACGACATGGACTAAGCTAGGACGCAATGCCCTTTCTTTCTAATTTAATATGTGTGTGTGTGTATATATATATATATATAGGTTGTATATTTTATATGTATATTCTGATAAATTATTGTACTCTCTTGCATAATTTGCATATGTATTATGTTTGAACTAAGTATGTAATAATTGTCCAATTGCATTTGCTCTAAATGTTAATGAGTATTTGTTGTATTTAGTTGGTTTTCTCTAACATGGGTTTTGTCTTTTCATTTTGGTTGCGCTGGCATTTAAGACTATCCGCTTAGAGAGTTACCTCATGTTCCTCATCGAGCATTTCGACAAAGGCGCGCGGCACCAGGCCCTTCATCAGACCCTGCTTACCGTACATGTAATCCTCATTTACAGGTGAGCATTCGGCGACAAAGATGACCTGTCAGTTACGAAATCGAAATAGGTTAGAAGTTTGATGGGGAGGACTATGAATAATTTGAGCTGCTCACCTCGTTTGCGCTTAGATTCAATTCGGTGTGATCCTTGGCATCATAGGAGCACAGGACCCGCGCGCGCTGCATTTGATCCGTGTTCACATTCAATTGCATGGACTGATTAGCTTTGTGGCCGGCACTGCTGCTGTTGTTGTTGCCAGGATTACGTGCTCCACCGCCCATGCCGCCGGCGGCACTGGACTTGGCGGCATCATGCAAATCGATCGGCGTGTAGGGTGTTGGGCCTCCCAAGCTGATGGAAGACGCAGAGGCAGAGAGTTTAAATGACTTGATTGTGTGTGTTGAGTTTGTGGGTGTTGAGTTTGAATTGACTAGGTGCGACTAGTGAAACCGCTTTGACCAAAAACAGAAGCAAACGACTCTACGATTTAACGACTATTTGATTAATGACAACCAATAGTTAAAGTTATGCCTAATATTCGTATACAAATGTTAACCAAAGCTCGTTTCAATTTCGATTCAAGGCGTTAATTAAACTGTTGTTATTGCGCTCGTATCGAACTCTATCTCAAAGTCCTCCAGTAGATGCGTGAGCGCCTTGACCGGACCGATATCAATGGTCTTATAGCCCTCAATATCATTATCATTATCATAATCGTAATCGCTATCTAGTGCTAGTGCTAATGGAGTGGAATTGGTATCTGAATCACAGGAATGAGCCGAAGCAATGCTGGGAGGCCCATCGACATCTTCGCTATTGATGCGCAGGCGTGGCTTCGCTGGCTGCATTCTGTAAGACCACAAAACAATACAAACCGAAAGGTCAACAACAACCAAAAGGACACACATGTACACACAATGCCAACCACAGTGCAAGAATCGTTAAGTGCCACCTATTCAAGTACTCAATTTGCATATAATAACTAATACATATAGTACATGTAAAGAAAACAAATGTAAAAGGATCAGCTTATATTCATAGTAGAGCCCTGCATCGAGTCAATCGAGACGCGTTTCGGATAGTCAAACAATTATTTTGACTCCAGACTAAAATATGTTCGGTTCGGTTCGAGCTGTTTGAGTTGCAGCCGATCATACTATTACCGATAAGCTCGAACATGTTGGCTGGCTCGTCGAGTTCAAACTTTGTTTGAATGAGTGTTTAGGTCAACCGATGCATGGCCCTACTCCATAGCTGTGACTACTTACTTGGCCAGCTCGCGCTGCAACTGATCCATGACATCGCCGCACTGTTTGTAGTACCGCACCTGGGTCTGGATAAAGGCGTGCAGATGGCGCAAGTGCGATGCCTGCGATGTGCTGATGCCGTCCAACAGCAACTTGGTGATCTCCGACTGTCGATCGAACTCGGCCTGAGCCACGCGCAGGTCGCGCTCCGCCTATATGAGAACAAACATAATTGTTAGTAAAAGAAAATATATAAATATTTTATAAAGCGTTTAAAATAGAGCATTGAATAGGCGCCTCGATGGGCGATACCTGTTCCAAGGCAGCTTCTGGCGAAATGCCATCTTTCTATAAATTACACAAAACACATCCACATAGAGGAAAAGCAGCACAAAAGTGTAAAAGCAGAGGCGAAAATCTATAATGAGCATAATGCGACAATTTCCATGCCGACCCACACTCACCGCCTGTTGACCCAGCATGCTGCGGGCCTTCTTCACGCGATTCTTGCACGCATCCAAGTCCAAGCTGCAAGCAACAGACACACACACACACTTATCATATGCCTAATCTTTGGATGGTGTCAGACTCACCGCTTCGTCTCCAGTATGCCGCGCTCCTTGCTGATGGTCTTCATTTCGCCTTCTAGAAATTTACGCAACGGTTGCGTAAAGCATATGCCTGAGGTGGCAATGAAGTCGTGCTCGCACTGACCCAGCTTTTGCTCGGCCTGGCCCACTTTGATTAGTGCCTGGCCGTAGGGCATGTCCTGGCCAAAGTCGCCGCCCGCCTCGATCATGTCTAGCGCCAGATGCTCCAAGTTGCTGAGGCGTTTCGGTTTCGATTTCTCAATCTTTTCGAATATGTAATCCTCGACGCGATTCTGTGGATTCGGTATCAGCACCGATTCGGTGTCGCGCACCAATTTCTCTGTCCATGTTTTGGTTACGTCGGCGCGTTCCGCTAGATTTTGAAAGTGTATATCGTACTCGGTGCGTTCGGTGGTGCCCAATTTCTCCTCCGTTAGCTGCAAAAGGGCAAGGGTAAACGAAAAATGTGAATCGCGTGCGCAAGGCCCAAAACGCCACCCATATCCACACCCACAGTCAGGCCCCAACCACAAGTTTGGTTAGCTATTGGTTAAGTCATGACTTACCTGGACTACGCGTGATATTGTGCTACCCGCCTCCTTGACCAGGTTCTTCATATTGAAATTGGGCAAGTTTATGTTCATTTTCAGGTGGAGTTAATTAAATCAAATTAGATTTTTTGCAAGCCAATTCTTGTTTGTATTTATCAATAGTCTAATAAGAAGCAGAGATGCCAAGCAATCGATGGCAAAGTACCTACAACTATCGATGGCATTGCAAATTTTCTCTGAATGTAAAACTATCGATAGTATTCTAAATGATATCAGCGATAACTCTTGGCAATTGTCCATCACAATTATCGCTAGGAAAAAATCAAATTAAAAATCCAAAAAAATAAATTTCCGTAGCATAAAATTATTGAAATAATACCTACTTACTTTATACTCCCCAATGTGCATGTTATAATTATATAAATACACGATATAAACTTCACTAGATTTATTTATTAGTTTAATTACAATAGTTATATAGGGGAATAATAATTTATTTCCATTTGCTTAAGAGTTCCCATTAACGGGCAAAAGCACCGCGGGGTTAGGTGTCTGAGTTTTCAGTGTTTATGTACATCTACTTAGAAAAATCTATTTAACCCTTATTTAATTTTTTATTAATATAAATCCTAGAGCTCTTTAATTCTTATTTGAATACTAATTAATTTGCTTCCAAAAGCCGCCACAGTGGCAATGCAACCACTTGTTGCACCAGGCTTTCAGTGCGGACGTTTTGGCCACTTTGTTGGCGCTGTTAACGAAACCGCAGCGGGCACAGCGTCTTATGGTGCTGGGATTGGCGCCCAGTTGGAGATTACTAACGCCATCCTTGACGCAATTGGCAAAGACAACCTGCTCCATTTCAATGTCCTGCAGTCCGACTGGCTCCACCAGCGAGGTGAACGTTAGCTGACCAGATTTGACAGCCGCATAGCCCTGGGCGCTCAGCAGCGTTGTCGGATTGTATTTGGACGGCTGTGGTATGAGCAGCTGCTTGGACAGCAGACTGCACTCGTCCAGCAACAGCTCGTCCGGCTCGGCGGCATTTTGTGCCAGCCGCGTGAGCAGTCTGAACAGTATGGCCAGCACATCGATGTTGTCCATGGTCTTGGTATAGACAGGCAGGCACTGCGGATTGAGTAGTCCCCAAATGCGAATCATGACGAGCAACTCGCGCAGACTGCCAATGGCCACAATGTCGCGACTGATATCGTAGCTGGCACGCTTGCCGGACAGCTTGCTCTTCATGACCTCCTCGGGCAGACGATTGAGCATGTTGAGTGCCAGATCAGTGACCCATTGGATCAGCTGTTGCAGGCTCTGCAGCATCATGGGCTCCACGGTAAAGTCCTTAGGATCTAGATTGAGCAACACTGTGTCCACGTCCGGCACCGATTCGGCCAATTTCATGGCCAAATTATCCGCCGGTCCCTTGTCCTGGCAGCCCAAATCCGAGGGTCGCAATAGGCTCTTAAATGTGCTCGAAATGGCGTGCAGTATGATGAGATTATCGAATTCCTGCTGTTGCGCACGGCACAGATTGCTTTTCAGCGCCAAAAAGTTGGCATAGTAGAACTGACGCACATATGATGGCTGTCGTGTAAAATTGTCCGTCAGCTTCTCCACCAGCGCCTCCAGGTTGCCCAAATTGAGCAGCAGCACATCGCTAGCGTCCACTCCGGTCACAATGCAGTACTCGAGCAGCAGCAGCAGCAGCTGCATGGTGCTCGCATTTTGCTTCAGCATGGGCGTTTGCATTGCATGCAGTTGGGCGTGGCTGTCGAAGATGAGCAACATCTGGCTGGTGGGCGTAAGGTCGGCGCACACGAATCTCGCCTCCGCATCCCGTTCAAACTGTGTGTGATTCAGCTGCTTCAACGTGCCCGGCTCCAGCACCTGTACGCTGTTATCTTGGAGTATGGCATACAGCTGCTCACAGTCTGCGGCATTGAGCCGCGAGCTGCAAAGTTGCGAGATTTGTGCGTTCAATTGCAGCTTGGCCACCTGTTCCCAGCTCTCGCTTGGCACATAATCAACGGGTTTGCTATTGTTAGCTGTCGCGGCTGACGACTGCTGGAGCAGCGCGTGCACACTCTGATGGCGTCGCGTTAACGTCCATTGCTCCAGCAAACTGGCGCTATCGGCACAGCCAAAGACCACGTATATGACATCCTCGTTGGCCACGCGCGTCCATAGTAGCTGTGTGATGCGCCTGCTCTCCATTGGCGAGGGCGTGGTGTTCAAAAATATGCTGGCCAGCGACTCGGACTTGATGGCAATGCGTTCACCCTCCAGCTGCAATGAGACCTGGGAAAACAACAAGATGCAACAGTAATATTCGAAAGACCTAGGATTAAAAAGAAAATGCCCACCTTAAAGCAGTGCACCAGCTGCTGATGCTGTTGCCAGCCAATGCTGTAGGCTATGTTGAGAGCTCCACTGGCGCTGGGCACAATGCTGCTGTGCTCAATGTAGCTGCGCGAGATGCCAATGCTGTGCGTGGCTGGCGTCAGCTCGATTTGTTCGTTACTGACGCCGCTGAGCGGCGGCTCTGGTACCACGCCGCTGTTGCTGTTGGGCGCCAGCTTATGCAGCTGGGGCAGCGTGAAGGCGGCCAACAGGCCGGAGGAGCTAAGCAGTATGCAACCTTCGGTGGCAACGCCGCCAAAGCCAGTTAACGTGGGTCGCTGTTCGAGTCTCTCAAATTTCTCGGCATAGTAGGTATGATCCTTTTTCTGTGTATTGAAGGCAACGCCTTTGCCGTTGTGAAAGAACTTCGCTTGGATGATGTCTTCGCTGGGTATGTTGGCATGGTAATGCAGCTGCCAGACGTTAAGCGCCTGCTCCTTAGGCTGCCAGATTTCCACACGGCCGCCAATGTAGCCCAGCATCAGCTGCTCACCGCTGGCATTCCACTCCAAAACATTGATCAGCGATTTTGAGGTGCACACCTTGTAGTACTGCCAGGGTGTCACAATGTCGCACACATAGACGTGACTGGAGAGGCTTTGGAGTGCGCTGAATGCAATTATGTTGCGCGCAGATACGGCGCATAGCACGACCTTGTGCGGGAAGACGCTGCTGTCCTTGCCATTACCAAATTCACGCCGGCTTTCAACTTTGTACAAAATTGTCATTTTGTTTACTTCTGTTTAGCTAAAAGCGGTGTAATGCTAGTGATGTGCACGCAAATAATCGATAAATTATTGTTATACATGTGAATGGCGATAACAAATTGTCCGCTTATACCCAGTAGACATTTTTGTGTGAAGAAAACTATCTTAAAAAAATTGCGCCAAAATCATTCTGCAATCAAAATCAATTAGTAATAAATTAAAATTAATTTACATTAAATCCGCATTTTTTATCTAAACTAATTCATGACTACACTGTTGACCAAAGGCTGCCATCAAATGTGAATGTTGCGAAATGAATTATTGTTGATATCGAACAGGCCAGTTTTCAGTTTGTAACTTCCTAAAATATTGTTTTTTTTTTTTTATTGTTACTGTATATTTATAAGATTGTGCGCGAGTTGTACAATCATCAGCTGGCGATAACAGACCAGACGCAAACCGGCTTGATATTTGTTTGGCATGAATATCGTTTTCTGTTTTACAGTTTATTGAACTTTGACGCTCGTACATTAACTTAAAGCAATAAATACACAATGATTACGATTTAATTTACCTAAACAATAGGTTCTAAACTAAGTTCACATAGCGCAGTCCCTTCAGCAGACAGCCGCTGAAGCTGTCGCCGTCGATGAACTGAATGCCATCGGCCAGGCAGGACTGCAAGCTGCATGGATACTCGGCGCCGTAGGCGCTGCTCTCCCAGCGCAGTTGCAGCACGTAGTGCACCTCGGGCGTCAGCACGCAGGCCTGCTCGCGGCTCCAGCTCAGATGCAAATCACAATTGTATTTTGTTGTCTGATTTTGGATAAGGTGCGTCCACACGGGCTCCCCGCCATCTGGATACAGATCAATGCGCAACGATTCGCGATACTCTTGCGGCACATGGCCAATGTTGCATGTAAGATTTGGCGCCAGGCGGCTGTTGAGCACCAAGCCCAGCACTGAAATAAAACGCGAGCACTTCAAGCCCAGCCGCCACACATGCGACTCGGCGTCCACGGTAAATGGACGGCAGGCCTTGTAGTAGCAGCGTTCGACGAGCGTGGCAGGTGTGGGAGCAGGATTTATTGTATCCGCTGGAGCCGCCGTCACCTGCCAGCTGTTGGTGGCATCACCCAGCTCAGCATCATCGCACTCCCGCTGGCTCCATTCGTAGATATACCAGATGAGCAGCTTGTGCGGCTCCTTGCAAGCGGCTATGATGGACTTGACGCACTCTTTGGACACGTGCACATAGTGCATCTTCAGATAGCTCATGTACTGATCATTGTTGACGCAGCAGCGCATAAAGAACGACATACACACATCTAGCAAACTGTCCAGGCCCATGCACACGCTTAGCTCCAGCGCTGGCAGGACATTGGAGAAGCGCAATTTGCGAGTTATGGCCAGCAGTGCGTCCGATATCAGCTGATCCAGCAGATACTTCTCGGCGGCGTAGTACAACTCAATGGCGGCCTCCAGCTGCATGCCCTCGTAGTCCACGCTGCCCGTGTAAATATACTCCAGCAATACTTTAAAGATGGGCGCACTAATATCATGTATCTCTATTTCTGACTCCAGCTCCTGCAGCGGTCCATAGAACATGGCCTCAAAGACCGGACTGGCAGCGCTCAATATCAGCTTGTGTCCCTTCAGCTGCTGCTCGCACACATGGAACACGCAGTCCGTGTGTTTCTCGGCATGCAACAGCTCCGCGTACCGCCGGCCCAGCAAGGTGCCCACATTGGCCTGTTCCTTGCGATGGGCCACGGCCAATTCCAAAGCAGCGGCGGCGCTCATCTGTAAGCAGAAAAAAAGACATGCATACATATATAATTAATGCGTTCTGGAGAAATGACAATTTGGCTAATAGGAAACCAGTTTCCATACAGCATCAATCATTTAGCGAATTTTTAGAAATTCTTCGAGTTCTGCCTTTCCCCTAGTTTGCATAGCGAATTAGGAGAAACCGAAACGTGCATGCCCTACACAGTATACACATTGTATGCTTACGCTTCCTAATTTTGGGGTAAAAAAACCGATATAACTTTATTAGAAATAATTGATATGTTTGATATTTAAGATTCGCACATTTTTCATATTATCACTAGATAACCTTTTGTAGAAAGAGTTTTGCCTCTTCATGCCGTCTAAATTTCGGTCAAAGATTATATATTTGTTTTCTAATCTATCTGTGTGATAAGAAGCCCCCCACTTAGGCATAAATCAACTAATAGCCTCCCTAAAGAGTTCATGACGTAAGTGCTGGCGAAATTTGATTGAAATTTGTTTTGATCGTCTGCGATACTTTGTTTATCAATAACACAATCAAATATTTATATATCTACGTATACTACTAAATCGTGTTCTACCATTCTAATGCCGGCATGTCGCGCCCATTACCCGTGCTTGGCTCGGTGTGTGTGACTCTCGTTAAATATATTTCGCGCACGGGTTATAAAAAACCGGTTATATAGTGTTTACATAGATGATGCAGCATGGATGTTGGGGACGCTCAAGAAATTGGAAATAATTATTATCAAAGAACTGGCACATCCAGTAACTAGTTGTGTCGCTGTATATATAAAAGAACTGATAAGCCCAGCTCATGTAGGGTATATGCAAAAATATTTAGACAGCATGGCTTCACGGTGGAGGGAGAAAATATCATACTTCGCACGCAAATTCAATTGAATTGGTTGACACCCAATCTGAGCAGCTGCAATATTTACCTTTTATTATTCCTATAAATTATATTACTGATTTCCGAAAGCTGCTGCGCAAATTATTTATTATTCTCTGGGCATCGATTGGCTAATGCTTCGAGACAGCCAGAACTTTACATAAGCACGTTTTTGTTGTATTTTGTTTCGTTGTTCCTTTGCTTATTTAATTTTTGTTCGCAACCTTTGAAATACATATATTCTGTTGATAATTTTCGATGGATACTAAAGCACACCTTTTATCTGCGCATAATAATTGGCACGGTGACAAGTTCTTGAGTATTTATAATTTAATAGCTACGTTGAATACTTTTGTTTTTTTTGTTTAGTTTGGCAGAAAAACTGAATTGAAAGCGTCTGTCACTGAGGCCTGTTGAGTTGAAAGTTAATTATTTTGTTCTGGAAAGGAGCTGAACTTGACCGATTTTGCCAGCTGCTCACTGGCGGCTGCACGACGAGCGCAGTTAAAGCTTTGATGGACGCACGTACTGTTCAGCGCGAAGCGCCACCTTCAACTGATCGCTTGGAGAACACAAACGTTAACCCTACCGTTGGCTGCTCTCTGGAAGGTGATTATACTCTCTGGTGCTCTGGTTCTCAGTCGCGCTCTTGCGTTAGCCGTAGCCTCTGGCTACTGGCTACTGCTTGTCACTCAGGTGTCGAGCCTCTCTCTCACTCTCTTACTCTCTTTATGAAATGGGGGCCATTTAAGCTGACCAATGATGATTGCGAGAATTATTCTCTTTTTCTCTCTATTGTAATCTTTAATAAGAATCATGTGCCTGTGCTCATCCAGCATCTAGTTGAGATTACAAATTAAGCGGCGTCATTTTGTGCTGCCAATGATTGGCATTGCCGAGGCGCAGCCTTGAACCCTTTAATAGCCTCTTCTGCAGCCAAAGTTATTTCTGTAACTCATATATATATATATATATACTCTACAATAGATGTGGTTTATAGAAATTTTGAGAATTGTAAATGTATTTAAATGGGAAATTGTTTGAAAATTCACAAATATATTGTAAATCATATAAATATCCTCTACAATAGCTAAATCATATTGAAGTCAAAGAAAATATATACATAACTTTTGACTTGTATCAGACTAATCATTAAGATTTTAATCTATTGTAAATAATATTACTGATTTTAAGTTTATTAATTACAATTAAACTAAGTATATTAAAAATATATTCAATATCAAGTCAAAGCGATTGTCATTTTCTAAAGCATCTAACGGAAGTAAGAGCAATGGCAATTCGACTTGACTCCGTCATTTGCTATACCTTATCGCTTGTACATGCCGGTTGCAGACGCTTTGCCATGGCTTTGACTTTGGCATGTGACTTGCAAACTGGTATATGACCGACCGTTGGAGGCTGGTCCCTCAGCTCATACACGTGTGTTCATCTACTTTTGGCCAAGGTCTATGCCTTACTCTCTTCTTGATTCCCTCCCTTTTGCTGCCCGAAACACCTGCCGCGTTTTGCACAACATTGAAATAGAACATATGTAAATATAATATTTCTTACTAAAAATTAAGTCGTGTACACGAAAATGCGAACTAGAATATACAAATTACAATATACATACATATATAGTTTAGTTGTTGGTTAACAAAACGAAATAAAGTAATTTTAGGGTGAAATCATATTTATTCTATTTTGTATATCCTATTTCCATATACTATTTTTCATGGTCCTGTTCAAGTATGTGAACAGAAGTCGATTGCCCGCACAAAGCTCTATATAAGGTTCACCCCATTTAATGATGCGAGTAAATTTTAATATATTACATGTTAACTCAAATTTGAAGACTAAACACAGCAACTGATTTCAAGGATTTGAAGGATGCAGTTACGCAGATTAAAAGGGTAGCAATAGCTTAGGCTTATAAGAGATATTTTTAGCTAAATAAGCATTTGTGTGTGTGTGTGTGTGTGGTATGGCTTGTGCCTACGCTTAGATAATATCACGTGGTACACTAAGAAAGTGTATGGAATTGGACACATGGTGCGTGATGTCCGTTAGCGTCTCCTTATGCACGCCTCCAAATAATATCAGCTCCCCGTTGCCCGCTATCAGGCTGGACAGTATGAGGCGATCGGGTGCGCCGCTCAAAACACCAAAATTCTTGTACTCCACCCAATCTAGGCCAGGCTCACTGTTCGCATCACGCTGCAGCAAGCTAGAGATGTCGCAAACGAACAGCGACTGAACATTACATCGGACACGCTTCGGAGAGGGCGCTCGTAATGTTTGCGGCTCCACATGGGCGGGTGCACTGCGTCGCGAGTTGCGTATAGCATTCATTTTCTCCTCCATGCGACGTATACGTTCGCTATGATCGCGCGAAGCACTGCGTGAACGTCCGGGTACATTGAATGCGGCCATGCGAAAGGGGTCCTAAAATAGGTAAATTCGTGTATTATTAGCAATAAATCATTTATTAATATGCTACGCTCACCTCGTAGTGTTCGTCAAAACGCTTGGGCAGCAGCGGCTCGTTGTCACGACAGCGCAGCGCCAGATTGCGTTGTAATCTCTGTGCCGCATCTGCATCGCCATCAGTTGCAGCAGGTGCTCCACCTGGCACTGCAGCGGGCGCGGCTGCAGGCGGTGAATGCAAATCACTAAGACGTCCAGAGCGCGGCTGGTAGCTGTTGTTGTTATTGTTGACATTGTTGTTATGCATAAATTGCTGCGCCTGTTGCATGTTCTGGTCCAGTATGGCCCGCCTGTTGGCCAAATACTGCTCCTGTGGCGGCAAGGCGGCGGCAGCACCGAAACGTCCATTGTTGCCACGCTGATGTTGTTCAGGCAGCATAGCGCCTGGTCTCCGCTCCGGCAGTGGTACACGCTGTCCGGGCTGCTGCTGTTGTTGTTGGTAGAACGGCGGTGGCGGTGCCGGCACCTGGCCTAGCCCAGCAAAACGTAATGCGTTGCCGCCCACAGCTGGCACACGGCTCTGCTTCATTATTTGAAAGTCAAGGGGCATTTTGGGCGAGGGGCCCACCACAACCAAATAGTTATTAACCCTGCAGCCAGGATTGCACCACATGTGGACGGCGCCAAAGTGTTTATTGCGTACGTTCAGCTGCTTCCAGCACCAGGCATCACGCGTCATATCCAGCAGCCAGGCATCTGTGTAAACCCGATTGGCGCCGCCGCAACCGCCAACGATGAGTAGATGCTGCTTATCGAGTTCCACCTGAATTTGACCGTAACGCGGCGCAGGTCGCGTGTTGCCTACAAAGATGGGCTGCCACCATCGCTGCTCATCCAGATCCAGCACCCAGGTATCATTGGAGTTGACATTGACGTCATCCTTTATCTGATAGCCGCCAAACACAATCATGCTATTCCCATGCACACTGGCCGAATGACCTGCCATGGGTGGCGGGCATGGAAGTGAGTTGCGCGCCAGCCAGCGGTCTTTGGGCAGATCATAGTAGTGCAGCTCATCGAACAGGCACCACGGTTGATACGGTGGATGTAACGAGGGATAACGCCAGCCGCCAAACAGCACTAATTTATCCCGCCAGGCCACCATGGAAGCACTGCCCTTGGGTGAGGGATATGTACCCGTCGCAAGTGGACGCGACCAGCGCATATGCGTCAAATCGAAGCGCCACAGATCGTTAAATGTTGTATCCGACGAGGAGCCACCACCAAAGACATACATCGAGTTACCTAGCCGCACTGCCGAGTGTGCAAAGCGTCCAGCCAAAGACCACGTATATGACATCCTCGTTGGCCACGCGCGTCCATAGTAGCTGTGTGATGCGCCTGCTCTCCATTGGCGAGGGCGTGGTGTTCAAAAATATGCTGGCCAGCGACTCGGACTTGATGGCAATGCGTTCACCCTCCAGCTGCAATGAGACCTGGGAAAACAACAAGATGCAACAGTAATATTCGAAAGACCTAGGATTAAAAAGAAAATGCCCACCTTAAAGCAGTGCACCAGCTGCTGATGCTGTTGCCAGCCAATGCTGTAGGCTATGTTGAGAGCTCCACTGGCGCTGGGCACAATGCTGCTGTGCTCAATGTAGCTGCGCGAGATGCCAATGCTGTGCGTGGCTGGCGTCAGCTCGATTTGTTCGTTACTGACGCCGCTGAGCGGCGGCTCTGGTACCACGCCGCTGTTGCTGTTGGGCGCCAGCTTATGCAGCTGGGGCAGCGTGAAGGCGGCCAACAGGCCGGAGGAGCTAAGCAGTATGCAACCTTCGGTGGCAACGCCGCCAAAGCCAGTTAACGTGGGTCGCTGTTCGAGTCTCTCAAATTTCTCGGCATAGTAGGTATGATCCTTTTTCTGTGTATTGAAGGCAACGCCTTTGCCGTTGTGAAAGAACTTCGCTTGGATGATGTCTTCGCTGGGTATGTTGGCATGGTAATGCAGCTGCCAGACGTTAAGCGCCTGCTCCTTAGGCTGCCAGATTTCCACACGGCCGCCAATGTAGCCCAGCATCAGCTGCTCACCGCTGGCATTCCACTCCAAAACATTGATCAGCGATTTTGAGGTGCACACCTTGTAGTACTGCCAGGGTGTCACAATGTCGCACACATAGACGTGACTGGAGAGGCTTTGGAGTGCGCTGAATGCAATTATGTTGCGCGCAGATACGGCGCATAGCACGACCTTGTGCGGGAAGACGCTGCTGTCCTTGCCATTACCAAATTCACGCCGGCTTTCAACTTTGTACAAAATTGTCATTTTGTTTACTTCTGTTTAGCTAAAAGCGGTGTAATGCTAGTGATGTGCACGCAAATAATCGATAAATTATTGTTATACATGTGAATGGCGATAACAAATTGTCCGCTTATACCCAGTAGACATTTTTGTGTGAAGAAAACTATCTTAAAAAAATTGCGCCAAAATCATTCTGCAATCAAAATCAATTAGTAATAAATTAAAATTAATTTACATTAAATCCGCATTTTTTATCTAAACTAATTCATGACTACACTGTTGACCAAAGGCTGCCATCAAATGTGAATGTTGCGAAATGAATTATTGTTGATATCGAACAGGCCAGTTTTCAGTTTGTAACTTCCTAAAATATTGTTTTTTTTTTTTTATTGTTACTGTATATTTATAAGATTGTGCGCGAGTTGTACAATCATCAGCTGGCGATAACAGACCAGACGCAAACCGGCTTGATATTTGTTTGGCATGAATATCGTTTTCTGTTTTACAGTTTATTGAACTTTGACGCTCGTACATTAACTTAAAGCAATAAATACACAATGATTACGATTTAATTTACCTAAACAATAGGTTCTAAACTAAGTTCACATAGCGCAGTCCCTTCAGCAGACAGCCGCTGAAGCTGTCGCCGTCGATGAACTGAATGCCATCGGCCAGGCAGGACTGCAAGCTGCATGGATACTCGGCGCCGTAGGCGCTGCTCTCCCAGCGCAGTTGCAGCACGTAGTGCACCTCGGGCGTCAGCACGCAGGCCTGCTCGCGGCTCCAGCTCAGATGCAAATCACAATTGTATTTTGTTGTCTGATTTTGGATAAGGTGCGTCCACACGGGCTCCCCGCCATCTGGATACAGATCAATGCGCAACGATTCGCGATACTCTTGCGGCACATGGCCAATGTTGCATGTAAGATTTGGCGCCAGGCGGCTGTTGAGCACCAAGCCCAGCACTGAAATAAAACGCGAGCACTTCAAGCCCAGCCGCCACACATGCGACTCGGCGTCCACGGTAAATGGACGGCAGGCCTTGTAGTAGCAGCGTTCGACGAGCGTGGCAGGTGTGGGAGCAGGATTTATTGTATCCGCTGGAGCCGCCGTCACCTGCCAGCTGTTGGTGGCATCACCCAGCTCAGCATCATCGCACTCCCGCTGGCTCCATTCGTAGATATACCAGATGAGCAGCTTGTGCGGCTCCTTGCAAGCGGCTATGATGGACTTGACGCACTCTTTGGACACGTGCACATAGTGCATCTTCAGATAGCTCATGTACTGATCATTGTTGACGCAGCAGCGCATAAAGAACGACATACACACATCTAGCAAACTGTCCAGGCCCATGCACACGCTTAGCTCCAGCGCTGGCAGGACATTGGAGAAGCGCAATTTGCGAGTTATGGCCAGCAGTGCGTCCGATATCAGCTGATCCAGCAGATACTTCTCGGCGGCGTAGTACAACTCAATGGCGGCCTCCAGCTGCATGCCCTCGTAGTCCACGCTGCCCGTGTAAATATACTCCAGCAATACTTTAAAGATGGGCGCACTAATATCATGTATCTCTATTTCTGACTCCAGCTCCTGCAGCGGTCCATAGAACATGGCCTCAAAGACCGGACTGGCAGCGCTCAATATCAGCTTGTGTCCCTTCAGCTGCTGCTCGCACACATGGAACACGCAGTCCGTGTGTTTCTCGGCATGCAACAGCTCCGCGTACCGCCGGCCCAGCAAGGTGCCCACATTGGCCTGTTCCTTGCGATGGGCCACGGCCAATTCCAAAGCAGCGGCGGCGCTCATCTGTAAGCAGAAAAAAAGACATGCATACATATATAATTAATGCGTTCTGGAGAAATGACAATTTGGCTAATAGGAAACCAGTTTCCATACAGCATCAATCATTTAGCGAATTTTTAGAAATTCTTCGAGTTCTGCCTTTCCCCTAGTTTGCATAGCGAATTAGGAGAAACCGAAACGTGCATGCCCTACACAGTATACACATTGTATGCTTACGCTTCCTAATTTTGGGGTAAAAAAACCGATATAACTTTATTAGAAATAATTGATATGTTTGATATTTAAGATTCGCACATTTTTCATATTATCACTAGATAACCTTTTGTAGAAAGAGTTTTGCCTCTTCATGCCGTCTAAATTTCGGTCAAAGATTATATATTTGTTTTCTAATCTATCTGTGTGATAAGAAGCCCCCCACTTAGGCATAAATCAACTAATAGCCTCCCTAAAGAGTTCATGACGTAAGTGCTGGCGAAATTTGATTGAAATTTGTTTTGATCGTCTGCGATACTTTGTTTATCAATAACACAATCAAATATTTATATATCTACGTATACTACTAAATCGTGTTCTACCATTCTAATGCCGGCATGTCGCGCCCATTACCCGTGCTTGGCTCGGTGTGTGTGACTCTCGTTAAATATATTTCGCGCACGGGTTATAAAAAACCGGTTATATAGTGTTTACATAGATGATGCAGCATGGATGTTGGGGACGCTCAAGAAATTGGAAATAATTATTATCAAAGAACTGGCACATCCAGTAACTAGTTGTGTCGCTGTATATATAAAAGAACTGATAAGCCCAGCTCATGTAGGGTATATGCAAAAATATTTAGACAGCATGGCTTCACGGTGGAGGGAGAAAATATCATACTTCGCACGCAAATTCAATTGAATTGGTTGACACCCAATCTGAGCAGCTGCAATATTTACCTTTTATTATTCCTATAAATTATATTACTGATTTCCGAAAGCTGCTGCGCAAATTATTTATTATTCTCTGGGCATCGATTGGCTAATGCTTCGAGACAGCCAGAACTTTACATAAGCACGTTTTTGTTGTATTTTGTTTCGTTGTTCCTTTGCTTATTTAATTTTTGTTCGCAACCTTTGAAATACATATATTCTGTTGATAATTTTCGATGGATACTAAAGCACACCTTTTATCTGCGCATAATAATTGGCACGGTGACAAGTTCTTGAGTATTTATAATTTAATAGCTACGTTGAATACTTTTGTTTTTTTTGTTTAGTTTGGCAGAAAAACTGAATTGAAAGCGTCTGTCACTGAGGCCTGTTGAGTTGAAAGTTAATTATTTTGTTCTGGAAAGGAGCTGAACTTGACCGATTTTGCCAGCTGCTCACTGGCGGCTGCACGACGAGCGCAGTTAAAGCTTTGATGGACGCACGTACTGTTCAGCGCGAAGCGCCACCTTCAACTGATCGCTTGGAGAACACAAACGTTAACCCTACCGTTGGCTGCTCTCTGGAAGGTGATTATACTCTCTGGTGCTCTGGTTCTCAGTCGCGCTCTTGCGTTAGCCGTAGCCTCTGGCTACTGGCTACTGCTTGTCACTCAGGTGTCGAGCCTCTCTCTCACTCTCTTACTCTCTTTATGAAATGGGGGCCATTTAAGCTGACCAATGATGATTGCGAGAATTATTCTCTTTTTCTCTCTATTGTAATCTTTAATAAGAATCATGTGCCTGTGCTCATCCAGCATCTAGTTGAGATTACAAATTAAGCGGCGTCATTTTGTGCTGCCAATGATTGGCATTGCCGAGGCGCAGCCTTGAACCCTTTAATAGCCTCTTCTGCAGCCAAAGTTATTTCTGTAACTCATATATATATATATATATACTCTACAATAGATGTGGTTTATAGAAATTTTGAGAATTGTAAATGTATTTAAATGGGAAATTGTTTGAAAATTCACAAATATATTGTAAATCATATAAATATCCTCTACAATAGCTAAATCATATTGAAGTCAAAGAAAATATATACATAACTTTTGACTTGTATCAGACTAATCATTAAGATTTTAATCTATTGTAAATAATATTACTGATTTTAAGTTTATTAATTACAATTAAACTAAGTATATTAAAAATATATTCAATATCAAGTCAAAGCGATTGTCATTTTCTAAAGCATCTAACGGAAGTAAGAGCAATGGCAATTCGACTTGACTCCGTCATTTGCTATACCTTATCGCTTGTACATGCCGGTTGCAGACGCTTTGCCATGGCTTTGACTTTGGCATGTGACTTGCAAACTGGTATATGACCGACCGTTGGAGGCTGGTCCCTCAGCTCATACACGTGTGTTCATCTACTTTTGGCCAAGGTCTATGCCTTACTCTCTTCTTGATTCCCTCCCTTTTGCTGCCCGAAACACCTGCCGCGTTTTGCACAACATTGAAATAGAACATATGTAAATATAATATTTCTTACTAAAAATTAAGTCGTGTACACGAAAATGCGAACTAGAATATACAAATTACAATATACATACATATATAGTTTAGTTGTTGGTTAACAAAACGAAATAAAGTAATTTTAGGGTGAAATCATATTTATTCTATTTTGTATATCCTATTTCCATATACTATTTTTCATGGTCCTGTTCAAGTATGTGAACAGAAGTCGATTGCCCGCACAAAGCTCTATATAAGGTTCACCCCATTTAATGATGCGAGTAAATTTTAATATATTACATGTTAACTCAAATTTGAAGACTAAACACAGCAACTGATTTCAAGGATTTGAAGGATGCAGTTACGCAGATTAAAAGGGTAGCAATAGCTTAGGCTTATAAGAGATATTTTTAGCTAAATAAGCATTTGTGTGTGTGTGTGTGTGTGGTATGGCTTGTGCCTACGCTTAGATAATATCACGTGGTACACTAAGAAAGTGTATGGAATTGGACACATGGTGCGTGATGTCCGTTAGCGTCTCCTTATGCACGCCTCCAAATAATATCAGCTCCCCGTTGCCCGCTATCAGGCTGGACAGTATGAGGCGATCGGGTGCGCCGCTCAAAACACCAAAATTCTTGTACTCCACCCAATCTAGGCCAGGCTCACTGTTCGCATCACGCTGCAGCAAGCTAGAGATGTCGCAAACGAACAGCGACTGAACATTACATCGGACACGCTTCGGAGAGGGCGCTCGTAATGTTTGCGGCTCCACATGGGCGGGTGCACTGCGTCGCGAGTTGCGTATAGCATTCATTTTCTCCTCCATGCGACGTATACGTTCGCTATGATCGCGCGAAGC